GATGTGAAACACAAGAGCAGTCAAGTACAACATCCCTAGAGTGAACATGTTTACACATGGGGAGGAATGTTTGTCCAGCCAGCAGGTAAACTTCCTGTTTCCTTCTGGGCTGGGACAGACTTCCTCTGCATGTGACTAGAGGTGGGAATGGCCTCACCTGTGCAGGTAACGACAAAAGCACAGGGCAGGGCAGCCATCTCTCTCTCTTTGACTACATGCATTGAAGAAGCAACATCTGCTTAGCCAAAGATGCTCTCTTGGCTTCCAGCCAAGAGAGGACAGAGGGACTGTCTCCTTATGAGATAGTTTCCAGGTGTATGTTACTTTTCTAAGCTAAGTCTGCCTTCTGGGATCCGATTGTGAACAGAATGTGAGTAAACTCTTTTTATACTTTTATAGAAGACTGTGTCGTGTCTTATCTTTTATGAGGGAATAAGGGGGGAAATACCAGAACAGTTATTATAGAGGCTTTAGCGAGCCTGAGCAAACGCATCCGCTGTGAGTTTAAAAAGGGGAATGTTACTCTGCTAAATTGTGAACTTGTTAACGCAAGTTGGAAAGGCTATAATCAAACAATATATCCTCTCCTGCATCCCTGAACATTCCCACACTGGAGAGCAGGAGAAGGAGAGGCTGCACTGAGGCCCAGCCCCACATGAGGCATCGGCTCAGAGGGGCAGGCAGAGGGCAGGGCTGCCCTGGGTGGGAAGAAAAAGAAGCAGAGCGGAGTGCAAGGAAGACTGGTTTTTTTATTTTTAAAAAATGCTTTGTGGGTCCAAATTCTAATTGTTCCCCTTTCCAAAATTTAATTACTGGTGTATGTTTTTCTTTTTGTAAATCTACCAAATAATAAAATAAGATAAAATTGGGATTAGGGGTTTTCCTCAGGATGGTGGAGGGTGTGTGTGTGTGCTTTGTCCTGTTGGAGTAGGGGTGGTGACACTCGCCCTTCTTATAGGAAATGCTCCGGGGGAGGCAAAAAATGGGGGAGTCAAAAAGGGTCAGTTGTGGAGGAGTGAAAAATGTCCCCGTTTTCACCTGAGGAATGTTGGAGGGTATGCCAGAGTTTGGGATGCCACTGGTAAATATTTAGGAAACAGGAAATGTAGTGACATGGAAGAGGGTGGCTGAAACTTCAGCAAAAGTGGCGTCTTTCATCAAAAACGCTTTCCGTCTCAAGGAAGAGCCAGCTGTCTCTCTCTCGCCCTCAAAATGCACCTGGAATATCAATAACGGCCCTGTCTTTTTTCCGTGGCTCATCCATTTCTTCCAAAGCCTCCTATGTTTCCCCTCTCCTGCTTAAATGCCGAAGGTCAGGGCAGATTTGCTCTGGTCGTAGCAGAAACATCCTTGCCTCTGCACTTCCAATAATGGTCCAAGCCTTCCTGCAGACACAGCTGTCCTTAAGCGGGCTGCGAAACAGACGCCGGCGAGTAATATCAATCTCCCCGCCTGGAAAACGCTCCAGCCCATCTCTTTGCAAAGTGGTTATTTCCTTTGATCTCGCATCCCCTCCCTCCCTGCTTCTCCTCCCAACACAGGTAAGAAGTCGAGGGGGATATATTTCAAACCATATCTAATTTGAAACATGGAGTCGCCAGGGTCATTGGATGAAAGGAAGGCATTCATCTACGCTGTTCCTGCAGGTCCTCCAATAAATTTTTCACACACACCTCCAATTGCTTTTGCTCACAGGCCCAGCAGTGAGAATTGCACCACCACCCTCCCTTCTCCGGGCAAAATAACAACCAGGATATAGATGGATGGATAAAAACAAGGCATTTCAAGATGCCAACACTGAACCCTAAATTGCCCATCCTGTCAGGTCTCAGAGGGGTCCTCTCACATCTTCCAGCTGGAGGAGCAAGTGTCCACCATTTTCCCCCACTCACAGATCAGAGCCAAAACACACAATTACTGATGCACCAGAAATAATAGAACCATAGAAATGTAGAGTTGCTAGGGTCATCTGGTCCAACCCCCTTGCAATGATGATCAGCTGAGGGAGCTGGGTTTACTTTGCAGTGATATGGTAGCCATCTTGAAATATCTAAAGGGCTGCCACATGGGAAAGCTTGTTTTTTTGCTGCTCCGGATGGGAGGACCAGAACCAGTGGCCTAATGGAAAGGCCAACCCTGACTCTAAAGGTGGGAGGGGAAATAGCAAAAGGCCACTCCACCAATTTCAGCCTGTGACCTCAACTTCTGTTTTGTTGGGGTTAGGAGCTTTCTCAGGCCAGAGTCCCCATCCCCTTCTGGGTAACCTTCTTTCATGGACTGGCTGGGTGCAGAGGAGTGAGGCGGGCACCAGCTGGGGAACCCCCGAGGGAAGAAGGTGGTGGGGTGACGATGAGCGGTCAGATGGAAAAGAGGGAGCAGACTGGGAGGAGGAGGTGTCTGAAGCTGAAGAGGTAACAGGGTTTGGTGAGCAGGAAGAGTCTGTGGCAGAGAGCAGTCCAGGCTCAGAGGCAGAAGAGGAGGCTGGAGAGGAGGAGGGCCAAGAGGCAGAGATAAATCAAGTTGCTGAAGAAGCCAGGGGGTCTCTCCCTCCTGCTGCAACCAGTTCCCTTCCCTCCTGGTCTCCCAGGACCAGAAGAGGTATGAAGAGGGTGGAGCAGAGACAGACTAGGCGACAGAGTTTCAGATTGCTTGGGAAGGTTACCCTGGGGAGGAGGAGACTTAGGCAACTGTGGGAAGGTGAGGGCCCACAACTGCCTCATAGGGGCAAGACCTACTGAGAAGAGTTGCTTTGCTCATTAGGCCTGGCCTCCTGGGCAAACCTTGTTTCCTTGAATAAAAAGTTAACTTCACTGACGCCTTGTGAGTTCTTGCTGACCTGCTCCTGATACCTTCTGAGGGCCATATGGCTGTGGTGGGCAGGGCCAGAAGTGGGTGGAGCAATGACTGTACTGTAGGCTCCTTCCTCCACACACAAACCTCTCTATCCTCCAGTAAGCAAGCAAAAACAATGGGAGTCAATCAAGGCCAAGGAAAGGGATAGCCTGGGGAGGGCTCCAAGGGCCAGACTAAGAGACCTGGAGAGCCGCATTCAACCTGTGATCCCCCACCCCTGCCTTAGATTTTTTGCCATGTCAATGGAAGTTAATGGCACTCTTGATTACCGGCACAGAATCCTTCACATCATGCATACATTTTTTTCCATGTTCACGAGTCTAACAGCGTCCTTCGTTTTCAGATTCCTTTTTGGTTTGGTTTGGTTTTAAACTTATACAGCATGTTTAATTAAATTTGAATTGTGGCAGCCAGGGAGAAGACATTAGCCCATTAGGATCACAGTGAATGAGGCCGTCAGTTGCCCTTGCCATTCAGATCAGCCACGGCTGGTGGGGAAAGGGGTTCAGGTCGCCCACATGGATCCCGCACATTGCAAGGAAAACCTAATCAAATTCTGAGCATGTGGGCGGTGGGGCAGGGATGAGAGGACAGGAAGTTGAAACAAACAAAGCTATTAGTAGAGCAGTCATTAACTGGGGATATGAGTTTCCCCCCTCTAATGTTTTGTTCCACTTAACAGAGTATGGGGCTGGTGCACAACCTTCCACTATGCTTAAATGACTTGCAAAGCCTGGCCTTTTTGCCGAAGCTTTTCCTGCTCCCCGCAAGTTTGAACCCCATCCAGCATGTGGATTCTTCCGTGCCACCAAAGAGCAGGAATTGGCTTTGGTTTTGCGGGCATTTGGGAGCGGCCGCACACCATCCGGAAATAAATAAATAATGTCTGCAGCAGACAATGCTCTTTTGGAAGGAAATAAAGGTCACTTTTGCCGAAACGGAATAGATTTGGGAAGTTGCATGTCAATTAGGCCCCTACAATGGAAGCTAATAATGATAATCCATTTGATGGGAGGGGGGGAGGTGAGGCGATTTAAAAAAACAACCCTGTGGGACGGATATAAAAGAAGGTGGGAAAGAGCCGAGAAGGAATTGAAAGGGAGGATAAAAGGAGAGGCAGAGAAAAGGAACGACAGGATGAAAGGGAACGGGGGAGATATAATATGATATTCGTTGATGAAAAGGCAAAAAGCAAATGGAAAAGAAGATTAGAATAAAGGACAACACCAGAAGAACCAAGAAGGGAAATTCTGTGAAATGTGGCACTAGGAGATTATGTGGGCAGCAGGGGGGTTAGCAAGAGAGTTCCTGCTTTGAACTGCGCAAACAGTACCAGAAGATGTGGCTTTATCTTGAACAACTTAAAGGGAAGGTGTACAGATTGCAAAATCAGGGGAGAGTTGCCGCCTGCTTGCTTCTCCACACAAGGTCCCGGGGACTTTTAAAGCTTCACAACGGGTCATTGTGGGGGCGAACTAATTTGTTTGTTTAGTTATTGCATTTATATCCTACCTTTTCGCTTCAAGGAGGCAGACATGGTTCTCCCAGCCTTCCTCATTTAATCCCCATAACCCTGCGAGTTACGTTAGGCTGAGAGGAAGCGACTGCCCTCTCCCCAGGTTATACCCCAGGGAGCGCAGTGGCGGACTTGGGTACTGTGGCGCCCTGTGTGAGGCCCAAATTTGGCACGCACACACCCTCCTCATACTGACTTCCCAAAGGTGGGTAAGGAGGCACCCAGTTTTGGGAAGGAGGCTAACTAGCTAGCTAGACTTTGGCTCAACCACTTTTCCAGGTCATCTCACAGAGAGTTCCTCACTCTGAAGAAGAACCCCCGTCCTCAGACTGGGATGTGGGATTTGGGCAGCAATAAGGACTCCCTAATGTGGGATGTGAAACACAAGAGCAGTCAAGTACAACATCCCTAGAGTGGACATAAAAAGGGATGTCTGGACCAGCCAGTCAGAACTTCCTGTTTCTCCTAGGCTGGGACAGACTTTCTCTGCATGTGACTAGAGGTGGGCGTGACCTCACCTGCCCAGGTAACAAAAGAGCAGAACTGGTCAGCCATCTCTCTCTCTCTGACTACATTCATTGAAGAAGCAACATCTGCTTAGCCTAAGATGCTCTCTTGCCTTCCAGCTAAGAGAGGACAAAGGCGCTGTCTCCTTATGGGATAGTTTCCAGGTGTATGTTACTTTTGTAAGCTAAGTCTGCCTTCTGGGATCCAACTGTGAACAGAATTTGTGAGTAAACTCTTTTTTTACTTTTATAAAATGTCTTATCTTTTTATGAGGGACTAAATGGGGAATTACCTTTAAAACTTCTTTAATGGCTTCAGTGAACCTGAGCAAACACATCCACTGTAAGTTTAAAAAGAGGAATGTTACTCTGCTAAATTGTGGAACTTGTTAACACAAGTTGAAAAGGATATAATCAAACAATATATCCTCTCCTGCATGCCTGAACATTCCCACACCTAAGACATAGAAACTGCTCATCAAGAGAGCAGCATCACCTGCTCATCATCCCAATGGGGGAGAGAGGTAGTCCTCCAATTTGAATTATAATAATTCCCCCCCCAAAAAAATTGCATCATTCCATGGAAATTAGCACATGCAGAATGTATACAAAATTCATACATTTGGAATGGGTCCCCAAGGATCATTGTGCAATTTGTACCTGTTTGGGGGGATGCATGAGAGGTCACACAGCCGCCCCCCCCACCCCGAATCTGTGCCCACTGTTATCCTAGTTTGCTGCTGTGAATCTTAAATGCCTGCTTGTTCCCAGTCCACTTTGACTGCCCACCAGCTGCCCACCAGCTCCCGTCTGGGTCTTGTTGCTCACCCCAACGGGAACAGAGACCCAGACTGGCCAGTCTCTGGCCAAACGACATCAACAAAAAGATTCAGTTCCCAATTCTGCAATAACCCTGCATGTGCAGAAACGGAGAATGGCTTTTGCAAATATGTGTTATTTGCATAATTCATTCAGTTCCACATAGAGCCAGAGTCCTCAATTTAAAGGGGATAAGTGCTGCCCCTATTTCACCCACAGTTCCTGCAAATGTCGGCAGCAAACAGAAAAGAACTGGTTGCCTTACAGAAGGAGGGGGATGTTTATTAGCCTGAGGGCCTATTCCATTCTGGCCAGCCTTCTGAGGGCCACATGCTGGTAGTATGGAATCACTGAGTTCTCCTCCCTCTTCTGCCTGGGGCTGCCAAACCATGCCAGATTCCGACAGAGCCGAGAGACTGACGGTGCTGGAAAACAGTGGAGGGAAGTGAAAGTATTACACTGCATTTCTTCTTAAATCATAGCAATCATTTCTAAATATGCAGTGATCACTCCCAAATTGGCACATATGCATATAGCACAGTGCATGCCAATGTTTGTGCAAATCAGTGCCCTCTTCTTTTTTTGGTGATGAATAGAGGTCACCCTAGTGCGGACGGCATTTTTTTTGGGGGGGTGTCCATTTTTCTTTAGGACCCCAGCTCTGCTCCTCTTCCCCAGGGACACTAACAAGAACCTGCCTTCCAAGCGGCACGTAGCTCATCCGTCGAACATGGGGGAGAAGATTGATTGGCCCACACTCATCTTGGCAGGCACGGAGAAGCGCAGAGCTCCCGACCATGCAAAAATTGACTTTACGTTCGAAGGACAAATGCAAAAACTTTCTCAAGCTGCTCGTTTATAGCAAATGGTATATCAGAGCCGAGCTTGTCAACTTAAATAGCTCTGTTCATACGTGATAAATAAAGAGGCCTCCATTGCACCAGAACTCTGGAGGGAAGAGAGGGAGTTTTTGCACCAAGCCAACCCTGGATTTACGGCCCAAATCTTTGATGTTGCTTTGTTTTGTCAAAACACCGGTATTGTCGATGTTGCTGGAGGTGAGCCCTGTAAATCAATAGTGACGCTCTTGGCAAATCTTTGCGCCTTCTGTGCTCTTGAGATCTGAAGAGCGATGGCTTCTTTACGCTGATCTCTCAGAAACTCGGCAAAATGGACTCAGCCAGAGGTGGGGGGCGGGTGATGGCTCCTGCTTCCAAGCACTACCAGGTTGGCAAATATCGCTTTTGCTTGGAAGATGAAAGCTAGGCCCATCAGCAGCTGTCAGGTGCGTGGGAGAGAGTGAAGGCAGGATGGAAGCATGAGTTCAGCTCCTGATGAATGGCTCCGTGAGGATGCGATGGGGAGAGGCAGGCAGTGAAAGGCACAGAGGCAAAGAAAAATGTCCTCCGTGCCTTAAGCTACTGTCTATGCAAGTTTGCATGGCAGTAAGTCGTAAGAGGGACGCAGGTGGCACTGTGGGTTAAACCACAGAGCCTAGGACTTGCCCATCAGAAGGTTGGTGGTTCGAATCCCCGCGACAGGGTGAGCTCCCATTGCTCGGTCCCAGCTCCTGCCAACCTAGCAGTTCGAAAGCACGTCAAAGGGCAAGTAGATAAATAGGTACCACTTCGGCGGGAAGGTAAACGGCATTTCCGTGCGCTGCTCTGGTTCGCCAGAAGCGGCTTAGTCATGCTGGCCGCATGACCCGGAAACTGTACACCGGCTCCCTGGGCCAATAAAGCGAGATGAGCGCCGCAACCCCAGAGTCGGCCACTACTGGACCTAATGGTCAGGGGTCCCTTTACCTTTAAGTCGTAAGAGCAGGCTGGATCATAGCAATCTCAGCTTTAGGATCTGTCCTTCCAGTGAGCAGCCGGGGCTGATTTCCTTAAGAATGGTTTGATCTTCTTGCAGTCCATTTTATGGAGCACTATTTTTTTAATAATAATAAAAAATCAACACTGTTTGCAACATAAATACATAAAAAAAACCATACAGTAAAAGCTTACACAAAAGCCTCTGTACCATTACAGGCCAATAACCGTTGTCTTCCTATACCGCAGTAATGGGGAACACTTTTCAGTCAGAGGTCTACAACCAGCTGGCAGTGGCCAGGGCCAAAGGCAAAAGTGAGCAGGGGCAGGAATGCAAACTTCACCTTGGAACAGCAGGCTACTTTCTACACATGCTCACCCAGTACTCTGTGTTCTTCATGCAGGTAAAAGCCTCAAGAACTATCAGAATTGAAGGACACTTTCCAGCCCGAGAGGGTGTGAAGCGGAGCTGGTGAGGGGTGTGGCCTGGGCAGAGGGGTCGTGGCCTTGGGAAACTCCCAAGGGCCAGGCTGAGATGCCTGGAGGGCCACATTCAGCTTCTGGGTCTGAGGTTCCCAATCGCCTTACATGATAGGATGTTAACATAAGACGAGCCCTGCTGGACCAAACTGATGTTTCTCTCATTTAGGATTGCAATAAGATGCTCTTGTAAAATAGCAGAAAGAATGGATCCAGTTCAATGGGGCCCGTTTCATATCTGCTTCTTCTTTATCTTCCTTTGTGTAACAAAGACATAGTGCCATTTATCTCTTTATCCGTCATTATTCAATAATCAAAATCTAGATAGGGCAAAAACAAGTCATTTGCTCCCTCCCAGGTAAGTGAGATTAAGATTGATGCATTAGAATATTAGCTTTTTGGTGCCTTCGATTTTTAATTTTAAAAAGGTGGGTGGAATTTTTCTCAAGATTTGCCTGAGCCTCCAAGGTATTTGTACGCCAGTCATCAGAGTCTGGTTGCAGGGAGGTCTACTTGGGGTGCAGAGCAGGTGAAACAGGTAACAGGGACCACAATTTGACATGAGATGGACCAGGGAGCAGATACATCTTCTCCTGGGGTCCACAGCTACCCAAGGACTCTGTCCCTGAAAATGATGTGGTCTGAGCCCATTTTATTTATTTCCTAATTGCATTTATATCCCACCTTTGTCTCCGAGCAGGTCCAGGTGGGGTACATGGTACCCCCTGCCTCCTTATTTAATCCCCACAACAACCCTGTGAAGTTTTATTTTAGTTCGTAAAATTTATAAACCACCTGCAACGCTTCACCAGAAAGCTAAAGCAATAAAACTATCAATAAGAAGAATCAACAACAGCAAGACTTTTGAAAAGTTAAAATAACAACAGACTAAAAGCAGATTAGAACTCTCATTGGCTTTCTAAACATCTGGGTAGCTTGCCTAAACAAACACATTTGGCAGCAGGTTAGGCTGAAAGTCAGCAACTGGCCCAAGGACACTTGGTGAGCTTTATGGCCAGGTGAGGGACTTGAACCCTGGTCTCGCCCAGATCCTAGTAGCCTGGTGCGCTAACCACTATACCACCACTGCCTCCCAGTGCTCACTGAAAGCTCATGAGCAGGACACGAGCAGAAGGTGCTGCACTACAACCATTATTCAGAATCATGCCTTCATGCTGGAAGATCCTATAGGTTGTTATTAGGATACAAGGAACACGGCCACCCCTTCCCATTCTGTCTTCATAATCCTCATCTGTATATCCCACATGCTGTGTCAAGCCAGGACCAGGCATGGCAGGTGGAGGAGGGGGAAGAGATGAGGTTTCTACAGCTCTCTGCGGCACGCAGTTAATAACTCTCTGAGGCTATAGATCCAGGCTGCACCGTGGGGCTCGAATAATTCATGGTAAAATATGACTTTTCATTTATCATGCTGACATGTAATAAATACTTTCCTAGTGATGTCTGGGAAAGGAAGAGTGAGAGAACAAGAAGAGGTGGAGAGATGAGCAGGGCACACCATTGCCCATCATGGATAATGGTCCGGATATTTATGAAGGGATGGCTAAGGACAGAATAGAGTTGGAAGGTACCACAAAGGCCATCTAGTCCACCCCCCTGCAATGCAGACATCGCAATGAAAGAATCCCTGACAGATGGCCACCCAACCTTGGTTTAAAAACCTCCAAGGACGGAGAGCCCACCACTTTCTGAGGAAGTCCATTCCACTGTCAAACAGCTCTTAGCATCAAAGAGTTCTTCCTAAAGTTTAGTCAGAATCTCCTTTCTTGTGAGTTTGGGTCCTATCCTCCAGAGCAGGAGAAAACAAGCTTGCTCCATTTTCCATGTGACACCTCTCTAGATATCTATGACAGGGTATCTAGATGTCTATCACAGGCTATCACAGGCTTCCTCAACCTCGGCCCTCCAGGTTTTTGGCCTACAACTCCCATGATCCCTAGCTAGCAGGACCAGTGTTCAGGGGTGATGGGAATTGTAGTCTCGAAACATCTGGAGGGCCAAGGTTGAGGAAGCCTGGGCTATCATGTATCCACTTGGTCTCCTCTTTCCCAGGCTAAACATACCCAACTCCCTCAACTGTTCCCTACAAGGCTTGGTTTCCAGACCCTTGATCATCTTGGTCACCCTTCTCTGCACACCTTCCAGCTTGTCAATATCTTTCTCAAACTGGCATGCCCAAAACTGGAGGAGTGTGGTCTGACCAAAGCAGAATACAGTTGTACTATTACTTCCCTCAACTTGGACCTGTTGATTCAGTCAAGAATTGCATTAGCTTTTTTCCTGCTGCATCACAGTGTTGACTCATATTAAGCTTGTGGTCTATTAAGGCTGAAGAGTGTATCTACTTGGTCCCACTCTGAGGATGCATCCCTCTTCCAAAACTGCAAAGTGGAAGGGAAGTCATTATATGTAATATCCTTTTTTTATTTTTGCAAGTCCCACTGAGTCTGGGTAAATGGATAAATGGGGAGATAATGCTCTATCCCATCAGCCAAATCCAGTTTCCCCATCTCTCTGTTAGGGAGAGTGAACTAAATGAAGAAAAGGGGGTTGTCCCTATTTTGGGGCCCTGTGGACCTATTTAGAATTGTGAGAAGGTGCCATTTTTTATTTCCCCTGCCCCTGGGTCACACTTCCCCCACCCCACCCCAGGTGGGGAGAAAATGCACACCTAGCAGTTCTCCTCTGGACAACCTGAGTGATCAAACTAGGACAGGCTTCCTCAACCTCGGCCCTCCAGATGTTTTGGCCTACAACTCCCATGATCCCTAGCTAGCAGGACCAGTGTTCAGGGATGATGGGAATTGTAGTCTCAAAACATCTGTAGGGCCGAGGTTGAGGAAGCCTGAGCTAGGATAACAGGGCTAAGGTGGTCCCTGAGGTACCCTGAGCTCAAGCTGTTTCAGGACTTACTATATTAATGCACGGACCTTGTCCTAGCCTAGCAGTGCATGGAAAGCCCATAGCAGATGTTCTAGCAGAGGGGCCACACATGCCGTCCGCTGTTGAAAACCGATGTGATTCCTGCCTTGCAACGGGTTGGACTAAATGACCCTTTGGGGTCCCTTCCGACTCTACAAATCTAGGAAACGTTTCTGTGTTTTGCTCACGGGGGTTAACAAAAACCCCAGGAGGACAAAAGGCCACAGCTCTCTCTGTTTTTGTCAATATTGCAAAGGAGGAAACACGCTGCCCAACCTTGACCTTTTTAACTGGCGTATGAATTGCCAAACTGGCTTCCTGCTAGGCTTAACACATATGTATCCATGGCGTGATGCCATCCCCTATTTTGCTATCAGTGAGGAAGGCCCCATGCTGAGTAATTGCGGGCTGCCTGAAATGGAGAGCTCGGGCAAGCTGGAAATCAAAGGGAAATTATACACAGCAGACTCGACACGCAGAAGCCAATCGTTCAGTGTCCAGCTCTGTGCATCTCAGCTTACGTGCCTACCGCAGTGGTGGAGATGGTGTCATTGTGTCATTTGTATGACACAAGCTCTTAAACCCATTCCCATCTGAGCAGGAGGCCCTGAACCTTCACCTGAAACAGACAAGATGTCTTCAGATAAAGGCCAGTAGGGCAAAGTAGCTATGACAGGAGCAGTCTCCTCTTCTTCAGGCTAAACATGCCAAACTCCCTCAACTGTCCCTCACATGGCTTGGTTTCAAAACTCTTGATCATCTTGGTCTCCCTCCTCTGCACACCTTCCAGCTTGCCAATATCCTTAAACAGTAGTGCCCAGAACTGGACACAGGACTCCAGGTGTGGTCTGACCAAGGTAGAATAGAGCTGGACTATTACTTCCCTTCATCTGGACACTATAATTTGGTTGATGCAACCTGGAATAACATTAGCTTCTTTTTGTTGCTGCTGCATCACACAGTTTACTTATGTTCAATTTGTGGTCTACTAAGACCCCTAGGGACGTGGGTGGCGCTGTGGGTTAAACCACAGAGCCTAGGACTTGCCGATCAGAACTTGCCGTGACAGGGTGAGCTCCCGTTGTTTGGTCCCAGCACCTGCCAACCTAGCAGTTCAAAAGCACGTCAAATTGCAAGTAGATAATTCAAATTGCAAGTAGATAAGGTAATTCCCCATTTAGTCCCTCATAAAAAGATAAGGCATGACACAGTCTTCTATAAAAGTATAAAAAGAGTTTACTCACACATTCTGTTCACAGTTGGATCCCAGAAGGCAGACTTAGCTTACAAAAGTAACATAAACCTGGAAACTATCCCATAAGGAGACAATGCCTTTGTCCTCTCAGCTGGAAGCCAAGAGATCATCTTAGGCTAAGCAGATGTTGCTTCTTCGACGACAGTAGTCAGAGAGAGAGAGAGATTGCTGACCAGTCCTGCTCTTTTGTTACCTGGGCAGGTGAGGTCACGCCCACCTCTAGTCACATGCAGAGGAAGTCTGTCCCAGCCTAGGAGAAACAGGAAGTTCCGACTGGCTGGTCCAGACATCCTCTTTTATGTCCACTCTAGGGATGTTGTACTTGACTGCTCTTGTGTTTCACATTCCACATTAGGGAATCCTTATTGCACTGTGGGTTAAACCACAGAGCCTAGGACTTGCCAATCAGAAGGTTGATGGTTCAAATCCCCGCGACGGGGTGAGTTCCCGTTGCTCGGTCCCTGCTCCTGCCAACTTAGCAGTTTGAAAGCACGTCAAAGTGCAAGTAGATAAATAAGTACTGCTCCGGCAGGAAGGTAAACGGCGTTTCCGTGCGCTGCTCTGGTTCGCCAGAAGCGGCTTAGTCATGCTGGCCACATGACCCGGAAGCTGTACGCCAGCTCCCTCGGCCAATAAAGCGAGATGAGCGCCGCAACCCCAGAGTCGGCCACAACTGGACCTAATGGTCAGGGGTCCCTTTACCTTTACCTAAGACCCCTAGATCCATGTACAGTGGTGCCCCGCAAGACGAATGCCTCGCAAGACGGAAAACCCGCTAGACGAAAGGGTTTTCCGTTTTGGAGGTGCTTCGCAAAACGAATTTCCTATGGGCTTGCTTTGCAAGACGAAAATGTCTTGCGAGTTCCTGCAGGGTTTTTTTCCTCCCCCCCCTTTCCCAAGCCGCTAAGCCGCTTAACAGCTGATCCGCTAAGCCGCTAAGCCGCTTAACAGCTAATCGCTAAGCCGCTTATCAGCTGATCCGCTAAGCCACTAAGCCGCTTATCAGCTGATCCGCTAAGCCTGCTAAACCGCTAATAGCGCTAATCCGCTAAGCCGCTAATGGGCTTGCTTCGCAAGACGGAAAAACCG